TTTTTTAAATTAAAATGCTTCCTGTTTCTACTCTCAGCTAAATCATCCCACCACCACACTCCTAAAAATGTAATTTTAAATTTTGGCTGATTTAAGTGCGTCTCAAACTCGATCTCTTTTGTAATTCAGCGATGTGCATTCCCTTTGCACACTGTCAATGTTCTTCCAGAATAAAGTTAAACACGAAAGAAGAAAAACGCAACGTTAACAGCTAAAACGTCATTTCTTTTCTTCTCTTTTCAGCATGAAATCAACCTTTACAGCATGTCTAAAAACAAACTTAATATATTTAAACCTCCAGTATATAGGCAGTACGTTACATTGCCGTCTTGTGTAAGGATTCAGTTGAGCAAATCTGTGCAGAACTTAAATTGAACACATCCCCTTTTGATAATCCAGCAGCCATGTCACCCTGCAACTCACAACTGGCAACCCACTGAAGCTAAGCAGGTGTGAGCCTGGCCAGTACCTGGATGGGAGACCTCCTGGGAAAAACTAAGGTTGCTGCTGGAAGAGGTGTTAGTGGGGCCAGCAGGGGGCGCTCACCCTGCGGTCCATGTGGTTCCTAATGCCCCAGTAAAGTGGCGGGGACACTATACTGTAAACAGGCGCCGTCTTTCGGATGAGACGTAAAACCGAGGTCCTGAGACTCTGTGATCATTAAAAATCCCAGGGCGCTTCTTGAAAAGAGTAGGGGTGTAACCCCGGTGTCCTGGCCAAATTTCCAATTGGCCCTCACCAATCATGGCCTACTAATAATCCCCCTCTATGAATTGGCTACATTACTCTGCTCTCCTCCTGATGTGTGGTGAGCATTGTGAGGTGGATGCTGCACATTGATGGTGGTGGAGGGGATCCCCATTACCTGTAAAGCGCTTTGAGTGGAGTGTCCAGAAAAAGCGCTATATAAGTGTAAGCAATTATTAATTATTATTATTATAATTACCATTCACGATTTCCAAATAGAAACATTTTGCTTCATGAAACAGTTTTATAACTGTTTTATAGCTGTAATTAAAATCAACACCAAATATGAAGTACATTTAAGTCAGAGTACAGAACATAACGATACTTTGGGGTGTTACCGTATAAATACCGTGCATTTCATTACCCTACACTCTACGGTTCAGTAAATAAACAATGAAGACAATGTGGTTTATTCTCACTACGGCAGGACGCGTAGAAGAAGCCGCGCATGCGCAAAGTGAGGCTGAAGTGTAATGGAGTTCTGGTGGACGCTGGCGGTAACTGCATCACATTTCCTCTACATTACTCATCAACTTAATGCACTACTCGCTATTTTCGGGTCTAATTGAAACGTTCAGTACGCAGAATGTATCGGTATTTGCCATATAATATCCAACTACAGTTCAGTGAATATTGCAGCAAAAAATGAAAGAGCATGTGTCTAAAGGGTGATTTAAAAAAAAAAACTAAGTTCTTTCGAAGTCTTGTTGCTCTACACTTCTGTAACCTAACCCTAATGTTAACCACCTTTTTAACTTTGTTTTTCAGGTCTGTAGCGGTGGATATTACCAAATGGATAAATGTGGAATGTTTGAATCTCTTAACCTAATTGGGGAATTTTACGTGAGCTGCTGCTGGCTAAACCTAACAATGAGAAAAGGGTAAGTTTGGTTTATCTTCTGGGGATGTGTGCAGGTGCTGCTACTGTGGCAGAGTGGGGTGCCACCATTTCACAGAACCAGGGTCTTGGGTTCGATTGTGTCCTCTGTCCGGAATTGTCAAAGCTTCTGTCCAAGTGCAGGGGTGGATTAGTATGTCAGTGGGCTCTAGGCACATACGCAAATATGAACCCTCCTTCTTGTGGATTGCAAACAGCCATATCACTCTGCAACTGGCAACCCCCTGAAGCTAAGCACATGTGAGCATGGCCAGTACCTGGATGGGAGACCTCCTGGGAAAGCTAAGGTTGCTGCTGGAAGAGGTATTAGAGGGACCAGTAGGGGGCGCTCACCCTGCGGTCCATGTGGGTCCTAATGCCCCAGTATAATGACAGGGACAGTATAAAAAGGCTCTCTTTTCGGTGAGATGGGGCTGCAAATTGGTGAAGGTGGAGGGGAGTCCCCATTACCTCTAAAACACTTTGAGTGGAGTGTCCAGAAAAGCGCTATATAAGTGTAAATAATTATTATCCTCTTAGCCCATGCAGTTACTGTTGACTTTATTATTAAGGGCCAAACGGTCACAAACAACCAAATATGCAGCCAATATACTGAAACTAATGTTGTACCTCCAAGAACTTGGATGTTGCACTGATGCTCTGTTTAAAGAAATATAACATTTTCTCAACTGTCTTTAAACTAAAAAGCTTTACTTTTAAAAACAACAGTGCAGTATCACAGTAAACTGCATTGTCACAGGCTTCTCCAGCCTCATAAAAACCAAAGCTGTGGACCTTCACAGGCTTGGTTCACTTTGTGTCCTCTTGTGTCAGAGTATAGCAGAGGGACTTTCAACATAGTCTTGTTCTGCACAGTGTTTCACCTAGCATCTGATTCCACAGACTTTAATAAGAATCATCTGAAACTTGAATCCTTCACAGTGACAATCTTGTATATTCAAAATGCAACCAGAAACACCTGTAAAGGTCTGCCTTGCATGCTTCTCCATCTTGTGCGCTTATAACCAGCTTGGGTGCTGTACTTCCATCTGTAGCTTTTTCTTCATCCCCAATGCCTCACGGGTGTTTTTCTTTTATCCGTCATTGATGTTAACAACGCAATTCACCAACCTGGTGCATCCTTGTCATGCATCAGAAAATAGTGCATGGTTCATCGTTGTGTACGTCTGTTGCTACTGATTTAGGCACTCCCAGAATATAGTAAATGACAGCTGCATCATAAAAAAAAAAAGTCTTCCATTGTACATGGAGCTTAAACTTTTGCTTTCTTGGAGGACGAGCCCTAGGTATGTTCCCACTCGGATAGGGCCTTCATCCAGCCCTGCATGTGTGGAGTCGGCACATTCTGCCCATATACTGGGGTGTTTGCCAGGTGCTGCGGTTTCTTCCCACCTCCCAGAGATGTGCCAGCTTGGCTTCATGGGGTATTCTGATTCATCCTGTGATTGGCTGGCGTCTTGCCCGGGTGCAGAGTGTGGGTGTGCTCCACCTTGCTGCCTGTGCTTCTAGGAGAAGGGGCTTTCTAATAGCAGGGTGGTGATTGGAGGTTGGTAGGGGGCATCATCCCTGATCACAAGAACTAGTCAGCCCCCAAGAACATTGGGGCTTAAATATTAAAGTTGGTATAGATGCCTTGCTTATGTGGCTGTTTGATTTTCAGCTGAAGTAAGCATCACAATGAATGGAGGAGATATATGTGGTGGTAAAGGAATAGTGTACGATAAGGTTTGTGTTGGGATAAGGTAACATCACACCTGGGATGGCTGGACAAGAAGCTGCTGGTCAAGAACATCCAACACCTCAGGTGTGATGTGATTCTAGTGCGTCACACCCTGGAGATTAGTTATCTTTTCATTTTATAATATACAGTACAACAGACCTTGGTATGGTTAAAAAAAACAGACCTGTGCATTTGTACTAGTCATTTTGTCCGAGGTTCAGTTTAAAAAGAAGCTGGACAATCCTGGTCTTGCAGAGTCAGTGACTGTAGGTTTTCTAGGTCTTATTAGAGCAAGAGCACATGGAAAAACTAAATATTTTTGTTAAATTGTCCCATTACACCATAATTAGCTGATTTAGGTTAATAGATGATGTACTCAAAAGAAAATGTATAGATAAATCAGCCTCCAGAATGAGGAATACTCACGCCTGGTTTATAACATTTGATACAATTTTTGTTTTTGTTTTTAAACCATGTGCTCCATTCATTAACCCCCGTGATGTCTCACATATTTGTGTTCTCAATTCCACAAAACAGTAAGACTGTTAAATAATACTGGAACTAATCAATATATAAATTATGGTATTAAATAGCTAGCATTGTACAAAAATGGGCTATTCATCATTCGTAAGACTTGAGGGCTATATTTGTCATCTGACCAGCATCATTTGCTACAAGAATGTCTTTAGTACTCAGTGAAAAAGTCTTAAGTAATTAGGAGTTATTCTGAATAACTATTCAGAGTACATTCACATTTAGAGCAAGTAGTAGTATAGTAGTGTTAGCACAGATCTCTGCAGTTATAATACTAACAAGTTACTGAAAACCCAGTTAGAAGATGGGATACATTTCTTGATCTCAAATGCCTTCTGGCTTTTACATTAAAGTTGTGTGTATGTTAATCAAAGAGTTGGGTTTGTAGCCACTTGTACACTGTTCACAGTGTCTAAGAAAGCAGTTAGGTGCAGGCTGTAGTGTTGCTGACCAGCTGATAGGTAGCAGATGGTATCTATGGTTCATTTGTTAAATATGGCAGTTTTTTCCCCCGAAATGTGGATTTGTCATTTTGCTTGGTACCTGTCAGGCCTGGATTTATTCTTTCTCAAAGCTGTGCGGTTATTTACTAGTTTGGGAGCCTCAACAGCTGGTGGTACTGGAGAAATGATTCTAACCGATAAGAATTAGAACACTAGATTTTGTGCAACTTCCTAGTTCTACAGGGGAAATGGTCTAACTTAGCTTTAAAGGAAGTACATTTGCAACTGAACATATCCTGTTTTATCTGATTGCACCATGACTGTTGCCAGGATCTCTTGTATACTTGCTTCCAGGAGCAATAGATCCAATCTGGCTTTTATATTTTAACCCACCTTAAACCTAAATAGAATAAACTTTAATTAAAGGACTCTTTGTTGTTTTGATTATAACATTTCCAGCCTTTAGATGAGTGGAACCGTAATCATGCTAAGGGATTGCAGTTAAAATTTCACTAATCGAAGGAAATCGTGTTGTAGCATCTTTGCACTTCTGACGTTATTATACATATCCACACCAGAATTCAAGGGGAAAAAAGTGTTTTAGAAATAGGATATCTACCATCTTTACACTTTTCTCCTTGTAAGAGATGCTTTGTAAGTGGAGCCTTCTTCAGGAATAGGGTGTAGATGAGGAAGAGAGCTGAGCCCCAAGTCAAAAGAGTGGGAGCAAGAATGACAAAAATGTGCGGATGAAAAGGGAGAGGTGAGAAAGGATGAATAAATATTTCCCTAGATGTTGTTTAAAGCTCTAGTCATGGAGCATAAAAAAGGTACACTTAAAATAAAGATGACAGTACATTGGTTTAAATTGGAAAACTACTAAAGTAAAATGATAGGTACAAACGTAGTTTCTGTATCGCAACAAATAGTTGTATACCTAGATGAAAGTGTCCACTACTTTAAATGTCTGTATGCCCAATCTTGGACTAGGTAATACCTGCTTAGCGGCATCTGATAATATTCTTTGAGGAACTTGCTGATTTTTACCCCTTTTGACTTAAGATATATCACTGGTGCCTCATGTCACACTCATCTCTGTGATCTTTACTCTTTTAATGTATTTCTCTTGGCATACGAGGCAGGCTCTCCTGTTAAAATCCCCCAATCTGTAATTTGTGGAAAACCCTTCCTTTTTATTTTTTTGCACCTCTGTGCCATCTTACTGCCTATCACTGAGCTAATGCTATTATTGGATTCATTTTCCATGTAGACCTACCGTTTTGGGGACGGGCACTTTGCTTGCTGCTGCCAGTGCCTGGGACCTTTTGCAGAGGTTGAAACTGTCCATCTTTAGATGTGAGTGTTCAGTTAAATGGTGTAAATCCTTAATTCCTGCACTTGTTCACATTGCAGACCATGGCAGTGTCATTTTAATTTTCTTATCTGGTAAAATAAAGGATTCAATGAAATTTATCACTAGAAAAAAAAGATGTCTAGCTGTCAGTTTTAATATTATTTAGCAGAAGTATAAACATTCTGGGAGTGCCATTGGTGGAATTTAATCGCCACCCTGTGTTTCTGTGAATTTAACTGGAGTTTAATTGAAAATGTACTAGCTTTTGCTGATCACAACTTCAAAAGGGACAAAAAGATCAATGGTTTGATGATGCATTTAATCTAATTAAACTCTTCAGTAGTGTCATTGTTTAAATCTCAGGCTAATACAATTTGTGGATGAAAGTTTGATTTTAATTAGGTTAGCCACCGATGGTTTTAGTTTTCTAAATGTGTTATTAAGCCTTAAGTTTTTCGAGATCAATTTGGTATTTTTTCCTTCTTGTGGGCATGATTTAGTTTTTAAGTGCTCTTAACTTTTTTTTTTCCATTGGTCTTGTAAAGACTGATTTGTTTTGATTGTCCTTTACAAAGCTGTTGATTCCTTTTACTTAGAAACACTCATAGACGGTATAGAGCAAACTTTCTTGGGTTCGCTTACTTACTGTACCATGCGATTCATTTTCTTTTCAAAAGAGGGCGACATTTTCCAAGATTGTGGAGATTCAACTGGAGGCGTCCAACAAGAAATCGGTAGCAGGCAGCCTTGGAGTTAAACGCCAATGATCAAATACCTGTAACTCTGATGGCACACGGAAGACTTTAAAAAAAAATTAAGCTTGCAGTAAACCGTAGGATGTCTTACTTACAATACTGGGAGGAAACTAAACTTAGAAACTGCCTCAGTGTTGATGCATATTACGTTTTTACCTGTAGTTTTTATCTACCGCACATTTCATTACCAATAGAAACCTGTTCTTCCGTTAAGATGAGAACGTAGTTGTAGACTGTACAGTGCTGGTGGAAATTCAACTTCTCTATCCTCTCGGGTCTGTAGTTTATCCCGTGTTAACCCCCATTCAGCCACAGACCAGGGGGCGAGTGCGCCTTTAAGTCGCGGGTAGCGCGTCCCATGTCGGCGCAACACGGGACGCCGTGTAGTGCGGATGGAGGCTGCGAGAGCCGCTGCTGCTGCGCGCTGCCTGTCAAGAGTGCGCGGAGGAAAGAAGAATGGGGCGGGGAGGGGGGGGCCGCGGCTCCTCGGTGCTGTTTATTTCGGCGTTGCGAGCGCTCCCCTCCCCCATGTTGCCGCCTCCTCCTCCCCTCCGGGCGCCGCGAGCGCGCACGCGCGCGGGGCCGTGCGGGAATGGCTGTGCGCTGATCGGGGGGCTGGGCCGCCAGCAGCTACCGGAGAGTTAAAGAGTTTTTAATGTCCGCCATGTTGGCCATGGCGTATTGAACCAGGGAGAGAGAGCGGAGCGACTGAAAAAAAGAGACCGAAAGAGAGCGACCAAGATCCGGGCCTTCCCGGCTCCGTTCGCCTCGCCGTTTGTATTTTTTTTTAACCAATCGAACGGTAGACGACTGGAGAACGACACAGACACATCCATGAGAGCTCAAACCGGGACAGTTGTGAATTTTAGGGGATCGGATAGATTTATGCTGCATCTCGAAATATAAAAAATGAGTAAATTGTCGTTTCGGGCACGGGCGCTGGACGCTTCCAAGCCACTACCTGTCTTCCGCTGCGAGGACTTACCCGACCTGCATGAATATGCCTCTATTAACCGGGCAGTGCCGCAGATGCCAACTGGGATGGAAAAAGAGGAGGAATCGGTACGTTTTGCAGTTCCGAAAACCTATTCTTGGTAAAATGTCCAGGTTTCGGCAGCATGAAGGGGCGCCCCTATCTTGTCTGCGCAAGCTTGCACAAAATGGCCGCCATATTCTCGTTCCAGAAAGGCGGCTTGGTTCGGGGTTTTGCTCGCGTCCTAAGCAGGATTTGGTGCAGTATATACAAATATAAGACGGCGCTGGTTGCAGATGGTGTTGTTGGGTTCGGTTGTCGGGGCCCGTTAACCCGGGAAAAGGGTTGCACGGCACAAAGGGGTCACGTGACTCGAGGCGAATCCGCCATTTCGCTGACTTTCTCCTCGCGCTGGGCTGGGCCTCGTGTCGCTGCAGGAGCCGCGGCCCGGTGCGAGGGGGCGCGCGAGAGCTGGCAGCCCACACCCCCCCCCCCTCAGTCTGAGTACACATGGGATACTACAACATAAACAAGAGCGCTGTCGGCTGGGAACGCAGGTCCGACTGCCTGTGCTCACGCTGGTTTTGACGCAGAAGGAAGCCGTTTTCTGCATTCTCTAGACTTGTATTTTTGCTTCACGACATGAACTGTTTCTGAAATGGAGTGGTACCAGAAGTATTTTTGAACAGCGTCGTACGCGTTCTGAGTTGTTGGCGCTGACAAGAGTTTGCGATGGGGTCACGCTGTTCGTGTTTAAGTTTGCGATCTGCCCATTTGTCTTTCAGTGTTTTCTAGAGACACGGCAGCTGAGCAAGTCGCGGAGGTTTCCGTAAACGAATGTACAGCTTGCGTACGTGAAGGGTGTTTTTGTTTTCTTTCGTCTTCGGCTGTGCCTCGCACGGAGCTGGGCAGCGGGCACTGCCGGGCTGCCAATGAGGAGACTTCCCTCCGTTTGGCAGAAAATGGACATGACCGGTCTGATTCCGGCTGAGGTGTGCTCACGCCTGCTCGGCTGCCGTGCTTGCGCGGCTGTGTTGATACAGCTCGTCAGGAGGCGTGACGCAAAACTGACCCAGTTTTGCCTTAGTCCTAAAACCGTAAATTACCCCCCCCTCCTCTCCCCAGTCCCAGTTAAATCTGCATTATCGCCTCGAGAGTAGGTCTGAAGTTTTCCATTATTTCCGAACACCATATCTCTTCCTACTCCGTGGCCGTTATCCACACTTCCTCCATTTGCGTTAAGTTTGGCGATTGATTTAAGCCTCTCACGCTTGAGTTGCCGATTGAATGAAGAAACGGATAGTCCTAAATCTAGGCTGGTAGTTTCTTCGCTTCGTTCTGCAGCTTTGAATGCCAAGAGGGAAAGCTTGTGTAGAAGCCGGTCGGGTATGGTGAATGTTTTACAAACGCAGCAGTAGCATCTGTGCGAATAAGTTAAATTGTGAGGTTAAAGCAGGCTATCGTTTTTTTTGCAATAGTATGGAGACGCCTCTCTAAACCACTTTACCGGACTTTCTAGTTAGTCCTAACCGCAGATCTACACTGTCACCTTCGTTGCAAATGTCAGTTCGCCTTTGAACTTCCTCCATTTGCGTTAAGTTTGGCGCCAGTGAGGTGAGATGTCAGTGGGTGAATTCTTCTGCCTGAACTCTGTAAGCAGGCAGAGCGCTGGGTTTGCAGCTCATATTTCAGTTGTAAACGACAAAACTTGATTTTGAAGGGCTGCGTGTTTATAGAGAGATTAGGAAGATACCCCTGTCTGATTTTTACCTCTTTGTGGGGAATCCGTACCCGAACGTGCTGTTTTTTAACTCTAACAATATATTCTTCCAGTGCCCTTCTCTGTGGAGTTTTTAAGTTCCTTCTCTTGCATTTAATCAATATCACATTTGCATGTGTGATGATTGATGTCTTTGTGGACATTTCCATGGTTATTGTACACACTAACGTTTTAACTTGGTTTTCTCTATGGTGTTGTAATACAAACTGTTTTGTTTAGGGTTGAAATAGGAGGGAAGAGCATTTAATGATGAGGAATGACAAGTTTGATAGTTGCCCTGTTAATTGTTACACTGTTTAGGATCAAGAACAGAAAATTAGAAATTGGATGCATCTGTCAAAGCACTGTAATCCATTGTCAAAATTGTTAGCAACAGGTGAGTTAATTAAAAGCCGTGTTGATTTATGCTGTGTATATGTATAAGAATGCATTACTGATATTACACAATTTATTGATCAGACTAAGTGTCGTGCTCTGCCCATAAATCTCATTTAAACCATTCAATTTTTTCGTGATATTCCAGTGGGTGTTTGGATAAGCAGAAAGGGACTGTTCGGCTTCTGATTAGGAAGATGTCTGGGGACGCAGTGACCCACCAAAATAAGGGAGATTTAATGAGCTAATTTTGTATTCCTTAGTCATTCTCATTAAACGAACTTTGGTCTTTCATATCTGCTGTCCTCCAGATATATTAACAGAACACGGCAAACTACTAATCTGGTGTGGTTCTTTGTGGCCAGTAGTAGTCAAGAGAGGCTGCTAAATGTTGCCCACATCACCTTGATTTGTCTACTCGCTGACATCTGATCCGTTAAAAATAGCAGTGAGAGGAAGGTGAACAGTCTAAGGTGAAGTCTAATAAATCAAGATGGAAAGGAATCGATTTCTTTCTGTTGGTTAATAAATGTTTCTCAGAACGGACTAATTATCGTAATATAACGGATGTATTGCTGTTGTCTTGATAGGAAAGTTTTTAGGTTCTAGACTTAAATGCCCTGAGCCAGCCAGTCACTTTTTACTGTCTCTATTATTTCCGTAGATGTTTGTGGAAACCCTAAACAGATCTCTGTGCAATGGAAATTGTCCCTGGTATTGACAGTTTGAACAGCTTTGGAAATAAAATTCTTCTTGATTACAATGAGAAGTAATGAAAATGCGGATTAGTGTAAGTGTTACGGATGACAAATGGCTTGGAATTACTGTGAATTCCGTGTTGTGAAATAGCTGGGCTGAATACTGGGGGCTGTTCTAAAGTGCACAAATAAGGCTTTGATTTTGTGCAATCTGCCTGCTTGCTCAGTTGGGCTCAGCCCAGTATGCTGCATGCTGTAATTCCCACCGTGGGGAAAATGGCAAGGCTTTTGTTTAGTTTATTGGGTAATAACCATGGAGATATGCAGACATATTGTTGCTATTTGCAGAGGTCTACTGATTATTGTCTGGGGAGTAGGGTGGGGGGAGTGTTTATAGACTTTTTTTTACCAGTATAATGTATGAAATCAGAGTGGCTATCAGATGTTTTATTTGAATTGTCATATGCTTTTCCTGTCCTGGGACCTTATCTTGAAATTGGATGTTCTAGTTCTTGGAAGTGGTTTCCCTGTAGGTCATTCAAATACTGTAAATGGAAATACAGTGCTAAGATTTGGAGCTCTGACGGGGAAATAGCGATTTTGGCTATTCCTCAATACACATCATGGTAGTGGGGATACAACTTTCCATTGGTAAGCATTTGAAGAGGAGACTTTCTTGGTTTGATTTATTGAACTGACACCTTTGCAAAAATCTAGCAAACCTGAGTGTGAAAACCTTTTCTCTGTAGGCGTATACCTCATTGGTACAAGTGCGAGTTCTATGGGGAATGGATTGCGTAAGTGTCTGTTCTACCTGTGCTAAAGTGGGTTAAAAAGTCTAGCTTCATGTACCGTCACGGTCAATCGAAGATTTTCTCATTTATGTTCCTGAACCGAAACTGGAGGGAAAACAAGAGAAGGAATAAGATGAATTTGAACAGCTTTAGCCATTACCCTGATACAGAAAGGATTTTCTTCATTCAGATGTCCTTTACTCTTGACATCTAGGAAGAGCACTACTTTGGGAAATGGGATTCTGGAACTGTAGGTCGAAGAGGGTGACCTAGGGTGCTGTTGGCATAAGGGATGACCGAAGCACCTTGCGTCGATCCGAGTCTTTTGCCTTGCTTTTCTCAAAACCTGGTCACGTAGCATGAAGAAGTGGTGGGAGTCTTGACAACTTCAGTGTCAGTTGTCATTATAATGTTTGTATTTGTATAGAGCTGAACTGTAGTGTTGTAAATTAGCATAAGGAGGTGACCAGCCTTCTCTGAAATGAATGTGATAGCTGTGGCTTTTCACCTACTGTGTTGCTTTTACTGGCTAATTTATTTAAAGTAATGCTCTTATGATCTTCAAAAGATCACTGCCATGAGCACAAGCCAGGTTCCCCTCTTGAAGAGGTGTTGCAGAAAGTAGGAAATGAGATCAGGCCAAGTGTTCCCTGCAGGAGTGCTGACCTTGTGTGGGGCTGGGGAAAGGAAAAAAAAAACAGCTTCTAGTTGCTGTAAAAAACCAAGCTCAACTAGTGATCAGTGCGGTGAGGGGCATTGTGTATCGAGGGGGAAGTCCGAGTTCCTTTTTAAGTAGCACTTCCTTTTAGCGTAATATTAATTTTTAAAGCTTTATTTGGATCCGAGACTTTCTGAAAAGAACTTGAAACTGAGAAATCTTACAATGTTTAAATCGTCTCGCTATGGTATACCTGAGGTACTGTGCATATTCAATGGAAGAAACTTGACCAAAGTGACAAGTCCAAGCAGAGTGCTTAAATCTCTGAATGCATTTCACCAGTCGGAACTGTTTGAAACTAGAACTGCTTCCAGTTGAAGTTCGATCCAGATATCGGTTAACACTTTGATTTTACTTTGGTGCATTAGAGAATGCATTTAGTGTGTGGATTTAACACTTTAAACCCGTGAAAGGGAGCTCCCTTTCAATTTTAAGTGGCTCTTATTGTTAACATGGCATTAGGTCGCCCATGTTAGTAGTCCTCGCCCACAAAGAATCTGTTATTCCAACTAGAGACTGGTTTTGTATGTGGGGTCTTTCTTCTTACAAACAGCAGTTTCTCCATACCTGATATGATGTCCTTTGTTTTATGTAGTGCCTTTTAACAATGCATCATCTAAATGCACTTTATAATGAAATGAGAGTTGATATGCGCAGATCAATATTGTAAATTAAGAGCTCTTGTTAAAATTGGTTTTGAAAGGAAGTGCTCTAGCTGCTATTG